GTCACAGTATCTGCCCAATTTAGGCATTTACTTCAGTGCGAACGATTTTTTCGCTGTTTCGGCTTAAACAAACACAAGTGCATTAGTCTCAAATTATCAGTGTTCCTCTTCCAGTGTTTTATTGTCCCTGTTACAGTGAATAGTGTAAGATAATTGATTGTACAAATGGACTAACAAAAAGGCAAATAGTTTTTCCCACAATAAAAGGTTCACAAGCAGTCATTAGTAGAAACTGTAGTCTGATTAGTAAAAAGGGGTGGGAAATGGAAGCGTCTCATTGAGAGAAGATGAGTTCTGGATTAATGCTAGGATAGGTTGTGTAAATTAATTAATCCTTATTCTAAATTACTTATTTTACTGTACTGTAACTTTCCCTAACTGTAATAGAATTGTTTTAGTTGTCTTAACTGTTGTTGTTTCATTTGCATAAACATAATTGTTAGGCAATTGTGTAATGTAATGAATAAGAGTTGAGTTGTTGTGAATGTTGTTTAATTCTATTTTTTGAAAGGTATACATTTTCACATTATTAATCTTTACAACCAATAACCCACATCTGAGACTTATTGACCATTTATCCCAGCATATATTGGACTTTGGACATCAGATACAATATATAGGTTGCTTGTCCATCACAGCTGACACTCTCACACCTATGGGAAATGTACAGTCTCCAGTGTACCTGATATGGCTTGTCTTTGAACTATGTGGAAATAAGAACAATTCACCTTTACAAACATGAGTAGAATATACTGTACGAACTCCAAAGAAGAATAGCCGAGGCTGAGAAATAAAAACCCAGCTACTTTTTTGTGTGAGGCAGTAACGACAGTACAACTTTTAACTCTTCATTTTTGTCTTTGATGTGAAACAACTACAAAATATCTTGTGATACACCCAGATGTGTTCCAGTCTGGAAAACAAATAATATAGGACTGAAAATCCTCTAATAGAAATGTGCATTTAGAATATTTTTTTTCTATTAACCTTTAGGGCAAAGTAGACCTGAGGTTTTGTTGTCAACAAATACCACCGTACAAAGTAGGGCAAGTGCTAGAGAGAATGAAAGAGTGGTGAAAATGATAAATGATAAGATGTGACTATAGGTAGAAGAGCAAAAAGTTATAAACTTCTGGTGCAAAGAGTCATTGTAACAGCGGTGTACTTACTGTTTGAAGGGTTGTGCACAATGTTACCACCTCTTGGGACTGTAGAGACCCTTATTAGGCGTCACAGGACAGGACAGTCTTGTCAGAGCAGCTTCTTCTAGCATGCAGAGGCACATCCGGTTTACTCTTTCAACGCCAGTGTTGACAAATGTAACGGGTGCTAAATTTACGTTAAAGTTTACAGCACTCAAAATGACTTTGAGGAAGTGATCTGCATCAGTGGTTCTCAGTGCAGTAGAGGAACGGCTAGAGGAAGCTTGTCTTCGTACCAGTTCTGTCACTTCTTCAAACGCACAGAAACTATGTTGAAACCACTCCCCTCTATGTTTATTCAGGATGTGCAGTTCATTGTGCAGGCAAAAGCCCACTCTTTAGAGGTTACAATTGTACAAAAATGTGCATAAAGTCTTGTGTCGCATAGTACTTACAGTTAATATGTAAAGTAATAGTATGTTTTAGTAAAATGTATTAATGCCTTCTTAATAGTTGGGAGTTTCCCTACCCATTTGAAGAGAGAAGGAAGTTGTTCATTAAAGTTTGCCCTGCACTTTATGCTGCTGTGACACAGGTCAGGGTCAGATTCGGTTGGGTTGCCTGGATGAGGGTGTGTGACGTTGAAAGACCCAAAACACCCCATAATGCCTAGTGACATCACCGATCATAATTAACTACTGATTAAAACCTTTGACAAATCTACTTAACTGTATAGTTACCTTTTATAAAACACTATACAATAGTGTTGACAAAGTAAATCCACAGTCGTAATTATCTTTGAATTCTTATGTACAGTACAAACTATACTCACCAAGTGCTTCGCATTTTGAGAGATGCAGGAGGGGAAAAGGGGTCACTATTAACAAAGAAAAGCTTACCTCAAAATGTTTTAAGGCAAAGTTACTGTCAATGTAATGAATGCTAATGAACATGAGTGGCACAAATTAATCCGTGGGCTACCTACAGTACTCTGTGGCACCTAGGTGGTTTCAGAGTGGTGGAGTAAGGCTTACAACACCACCATCTGGACAGTAAAGGAAAATCCTCCATCTCTCTCATGGCCTCTGGATGGTTGTATCAGCATTTGAATTACATGCACCTTAACTTTTCCATTGTTACAGTATTTCTTGAAACAGAATATTTTATATTATTGTATTATTTTGGTACATTTAAATTATGCAGCATAGATTGATTTAAAGTCACTTTAGCAAAGGGTATGGTCTAAAACAGTAACTACATTATCTACACACACAATGCCACAATGTTTGTTGTTGCTTTCTACTGGTCATCCAATAAAAAAAAGATTATTACATTGGCGTTATACTCTCTGAGGTGTGATTGGTTTAAGACTTTCATCATTGTCCATTTGGTTCATCCTCTCCAAGGAGTTGATTTTGCAGAAGTAAAGTTTTTGAAATAATTTTAGTACGTGTCCTGCAGATCGTAACGTGAGCAGACAACAGGGGAAAAAAGACAGACAGATACTTTCTTACTTTGATAGTGTAAAAATCAAAAAGATAATGATACATTTGGTGATTGTACTGTCATTGATTTTAACATAACACATAAACAAATGATCTTGACATGGATCCCTTAGATTTCCTTTTTTCTTTTAAAGAATTTGACCAACTCAGTGGGACATTTTGCGGTTTGGATAAGCTATATAATAGAGACAATTTCTAAACTACCTCAAACCTAGTTTGGCATTTCTGTAAAACCTGAAAAACCTTTTTTTGCACCTCCCGTTTCCACATCTCAAAGTCATTGTGTTTTTTGAATGGGTTTTTGGTTTGATGCCTGAAATAAGGTCTGTGGTTAAGACAAGCTTAGATATTGTTCTTGTGTTGATTTATAGTCTATTGTTAGCTTTTTTCTTTGGGTGATTGCATCTATGCTTTAAAGATTTTAAAAACAATTTAATTTGTGGCTATTGTCTTGGTGAACCTATCATGTGTAAGTATCATAAACCTTTGTTTGCCACAGGCCTTATTTTCTGCACTGATCCAAAATCCAGTGGAAAAAGCCCGTCGGTTTTTTGTCGAAGGAACCAGGGCGATGCTAACTTCCAGGATTGGGCCTACAAAAAGCACGTGTTGATGTTGAATCGTAGTGAATTGTTTAGTTGACCCAAATACTTCTGAAGAGAGCTACATTCATGTTGTTTTAGTTACTGTGCAGAACATTATTAAAAAAGTGACATTAAAGTTAGATTTTATTGATGGAATTTGGAAAGAGAGGTCACAGAAAACTACATTATATTACAAATACAAACAACAGTTAGCAAAAATATTGATTCTCATTTGAAGATACCTGTAGATAAGACAATCTTCTTCAATGGAGACCGCAATGTTTCTACAGTAGCCCAGAACAGACGAAGCAAACAGATAGGGCCTTTAGCATTTTTCGTCGTAGAGATGTAAACCATTAATTGTGTGTGAATGCTGACTCATGCATATATTCTACGAAAACCTTCTGTAACAGCTTATTTAAATAGCCAGCATACACCGTTATGAGATGATTCTGGTTATAATGTACTTTGTCACTTCTCATGCTGACCCCGCTGTTCAGTGTTGCCCCCAGCGTGGTTAGCAAATTAAATAACACTATTATAACATCCCAAAGACCCTCTTTGACCCTTGTTCACCTGGCTACACATGTAACTACGGAAGCAAACGTTTTTGTCTTTTATGATCTTCCAAGCGACAGGAGCGCCAACTGCTGTATTAACTGAAGTTGGAGCATTAACTAAATTTAAGCAGAAATTTCCAGAGTGAAGCAGAAGCAGCCACTTCTTCCAGCAGTCAGTGTGGTCACATGTTTGACTCTACTCTAGGTTGCCATGCAGATACCGTCTCCATGGAAACCTTTAGTTGTAGTTGGCAACACGGAAGAGATTGAGATGAGCTAAGACGGACGGACAGACGGACCAGACAAGATAATGCAATTCTCTCCTACATTATACTATAGTTTGCATTCCTAATCCCTTTGCCATTTGTAAGTCATTTCTATACTTTGTCAACTTCTATCTAATCCTTCAGAAACTATATTCAAACCTTATGAGATATATTCAACTTTTTAGTCACATTAATAGTAATTAGACTGTTTTCTCACTTTTCCAACTGGAATACATCTTCAGCTAATACAAAATAATTCATACACATTAAAGCCAGGGATTCAGTCTAGTGACAGCTTTTCGCAGCTCTTTGAAATCTTCCACCTTTTACAGATTATTAATATTATTGAACGTTTAGAAACAGCAATTCAGTGTAGTGTAAGCCTTTCAACAGTCAGCATTCAGACCCATTTTCTAGTTTTATTTAATAATCTACTTATTCCAATGGGGGACGCTTTCATGTTTTAATGGAAATAAAATAATTAATGGTGAAATAGTTTCATTTCTGCACAGCGTGACCACTCTGCTGACTATCAGTGGAGGTCAAATTCCATAGTGATTAATATCTCTATTTAGTCCTCATTTGAGTGTTCCTGGTTCCTGGTTGAAGAGGAGTACACAATACTTTCTGTCCATTCATCAAAACTTGGGTTGTCTTTGCCAAAAGATAATTCATTTTGTTGAAATGAATTGTTTACACGATTTTAGGAACACGTTGACCCAAGATAAATTTAATTTAAGAAGTGCAGCTGATAAAGCATGTATTTTTAGAAAGGAATGCACGCCATTGGTTCACATGTTTCCGACTTCATAAGACTCACACATACTCACACATAAAATGAAAAGGCACATTTATGTGTTACCCATGAGCCTACTAACACCAGTATATGCATGCAAAAAGCAGAATATTTAGGTCACCAAATAACGTCAAAGTTGCTTCAAGGTCTTTTCATTGTTGCTTTCATTCATTTAAAAAAGAAGACACAACAGTCAGATGAAAACAATTACAATTCCTGCCATGTTTATCACAACAAGACATAAATCATGTTACCTAATACCATGTCAAGTAATTTCAGCTGAACTATGAGTAAATTAGGGTTTATTGCATTCAAAAGAAAAAGCAGATACATTTCCAACTAAGACTGTTAAGATAAAACATTCAGCATAACCACAGTAAGTGCTTTGTTGAAGCTACATTTTTTTTTTTTACATGTTGCCTAGTGTAAAGCTAGATGGCAGCACAACACTTTTATTATCTCATCAGTCCTTCTACTTTATAAATGGTTTCTGCCACTTTCCATAGCTTCCAAAGTCTGGCCAAAAACTTGAAGTTGTTTTTAAGATGACATTCACCATCCAACAAATGTCTGTAAAACATCTCTAATATGATTCATTTATAATCACCACAGTATAATCTCCACAATAATGTTAAGGCAGTTGGTTTAACACATAACTCTGTGATAATAGACTTAAATCACATGAAGAATACAGGACAAGATAATTATTTACACAGTTAAGATACATACTTCATTGAAGTTAAAATCCACAAAGAGACATGTTTAATATGTATTTTGGCTGTATAAAAATATAGTTGTATTGTATGCTTAAATATAAGGTGGCTTTATATATCCTTATATACAAGCTGATAATTACATATTTTTTAACTATGTATAGGCCTAGTATAAAGTATAGACTAGGTATAAATTGCACTTCACAAGCAGTTCATCACATTCAGTTCACTTGTGGAAGGATCCTGCTTGTCGCAGTTTGGGGTCCAGTAATGTCTGTTTCTTGATTAACAAAAGTCCTCCCCCTTCGTGGCCTCGGTTCCTCCTCAGTTCACGGGTATGTTAGAGAAGGTCTTCAGGGATTGTCTTCTTTCTCAGCTGCCAAGCACACTTTGGAAGCTGAAGAAGAGACAGACATTCTTGTCAAGTCGTACAAGTCTGACTTGAATTCAGCCATAAATCACACACTTGTTCAGACACACTGAAACCTGCACTTAAGCATGCATAAACAGTATCTGTTATTGGAATCTCGCTTTCACATATGTGAGTGGCCTGAGCAAATCTTCATCTGAAGGACTGTACAGATGTAGCAGCCATTCTTTCCGCATATCTAGTTGTAAATCTGTGGAATAAAACCTCTGAGGGGACTTATCTTCATCTGCTGTGAGCAAATAACCCCAACAAGGATTCTCCTTTGCCTTTCCATTCCTGTCTTAGGCCATTGTGCGTGTGCTTTTGTGTCTGCGGAGTTGCTGACCAGCTTCAGTGTTCCTTCTTTGTCTTCCTGTCTGGAGGGCAAGCTGAGTGACTTCCTGGAGTGAGCGGCGTCGGCGTCCGTAGCCATTCGAGCCCATCTTGTCCTCAGGGACCTTCTCTCGCTCTTTCAGGTCAGAGATGCGTTGCAGTATGTAAGGCAGGTCGTGGTATATACATGTGACTAAGACGCAGCCGGATGATTTGGATGATGGAGACCTCCTGGGTCTGATATTTAGCCCAAAGCTGGAAAAGGAAAATAGATATTTATGCTCTGTTTTCAGGCAGATTGCCTGGGTTGTTAAATCTGACCTGGCAGCACATAATATGTTGACCACAAGGTTTAAATTCAAATTGTCAACAATATTTATCTGAATGCATGTCAATTCCAGTTCAGTAGAAGATAGATCATCCACTGTAGTCAGCTCATCTTCTTAAAAATAGCTATTTTTTCCTACATGGTGGACATTTCATTTGGAATTCATGTGGAATGTAAAAACTCCTCTATCATAAAGCATCTGTGGCACCTCCTGATAGCCTAATGGTTAAGAGGTACTACATATAACTGGGATGCTCCTGGTTCAATTCCAGCTGGGGATGCTTGTTGCATTTCATACCCCTTTCTCTCATCACATTTCTTATCTATCTCTACACTGTGGCCCATCAAATGAATTAATCAAAAACGCCCTCTAAATGTGGCTTTTCTTGTTACCTTGATGTAGGTGAGACAGTTATTGCATTCCCGTCCTGCTGTGGTCCAACATGGATGTCAGAGTACAGCTCATTGGCAACTAAGCAGTTGTGCAGATCTCTCTTCATACGGTTCTGCAGCCATACTATAAACCTACCACAAAGAACAGAACAGGTTGTGAAAACAGAAACTGACAATAGTTCACTGAAAGATAGTTAGGGTACAGTCATTAGGTGACACATCACACTTCCAAAATATGATATGTCATTTGGTGTCAGTGTAGCTCAAGACAGATGGCCAATCTTGTTTTCAGAAAATACCATTTTTATTCTTGACAAGCAAAAATGGCTGGACCGATAAAGATGCCAGGCTGACATATTGGGCCGATATTAGCTCATCCCAGATATATTAGTATGAGCATTAATGTCTAATGATCAACAATAAATTGCAGTACAAAAAATGTGAGACATGTTTGAAGTATACAGTGTCTCTACCACATAGTTTATCCACCAGTGAACACTGACAAGTTTATTTTTCAATTGCATAAATTGCTTACAACATGTGTTTATCACTGTTCTGCATTAACAGACTCAGGGATCTTTATCAAACATGGGTTCTATTTGTTTCAGCATTGGCTGATTTAAAAAAAAAAAAAAAAAACAATTATTTGAATACTAAAGGACAGCCAGATGAAGCTTTTTCTTTAAAATGAACACAATGTTCTCACAGTGCTTGTTGATCAGGCAGCTCACCTGTTTTTCAGGCTGGTGTTGAGCTCCTCTGTGACACCTTTTACCAGTGGCAGGACAGTGGTGAAAACACAGCAGCAGATAACAGTGTGCAGGGCAAATCTCATTTTGGCTGGAAGCTGGTAAAGATAAATAAATTATATTTAAGAGGTTACCTCTAAACTGCTGCCACAACTTGGGATTGATTAGTTTAAGACAGCATTCAATAGCCTTAATAGCTGCACAACAGGGTGGTTAAAAATCACAGTCTGTGTAGTTTGTCAAATACAAATAAGTATTAATGGATTAATGGATTAATGGCAGGTTATTGAAGAACATTTATTATTGAACATCCAATCATCAGTGCACCCAAAATCACTAAATAAAAAATGGAATCTTTACTTAACTTCTAGTCCTTTTAAACTCCATCCTAAATTGACAGGACATCAATTTGCAATACCTGAGGACTCCTTCAGCAATATTTAAAAAGTAATCCTAAACTAATTTGAAGTGTGGAAAAAGTCACTTACCTCAGGTTTGATCTTGTAATGTGTTGAAGAGAATTTATGATGCACATCCAAGTGTGTTGTGTACTGTTTAGCAGAGTTAGGTATTTTTTCCAAGGCTGTAAAGAGTCATGAGTTGAAGTCTGAGGTTTACACTGCTAACATGAGAGGCTTTATAGAGGGAGGAAGGGAGGGAGCTGTACCTGAATGCCAGACCCAGTGGGAGGGACTATAGGACAGTTCATGTCAACCCCATCCACCCCACATGTAGACAGGCAAACCAAAAACATTCAGATAGAGATTATGGTCGTGTCAGCAATTCAAAAAATTGCGTGACGAATGCTTACTGGTTTGTGCAAATCCTAATTCTGATTTAATACACCACTTTACTTTGAGAAAGTGTTGAAAGAATTGGTTTTGTGCATTTCACGGTTTTATAAATGGCCCTAAAACATTTTTCCTCTTTAAAAGGTTTATTTTTGGCTGTGCAAATGGGAGACTTATGTGCACCCAGGCCATTTACATATTTGTTGTCTTTTCTTTTAATATCTGTTTCGAAACTGGTTGTCTTCGAAGGTTTTAAGGGTGCGTCCATTGGCCATGCATGCTTTAAAGCAGTTAAGTTGGGTGTAAATGCTGTTAATAGCTGCATTAATTCAAAAGGACGTGTTTTTGGATGGCTGTGTTTCAGTCTGAGTTAGCCATCTGTGATTTTAAATCGCTCTAAAAGACTAAGTATATTTAAACTAGGACTGCGTTGTGATGGCAACCGCATGCACTGTGAAAATCTAATGGAGGACTTACGTTATACTGAACTTGTGAACCTCCAGATGACCAGTTGAATCATTCTGAGTGCTACTTAAACGCACTGGTAGTTACTTCCAAGCCTTCTAAACAAGGGCAGTGTGTTCTGCATGTTTGAGGATTAACATGGTCATTACAGATACATTTTACAGGCATGTGAGAATTATTGACAAGTAACCCTGACAAACTGCATGCACATTGTGTTCAAAGTATTTACAAACATTTAAAGATTAAAAAAAACAAAACAATTTTTAAGAATCAGTGCTTCAGTTGGCCAGGAGTCAAGGTTGATCTCATCTCTGCCCATTGGTCAGTTTCACAAAGATAATTTGGACTGGTCTGTAGTGTTTAATTAGTCTAATGCACGTTGGCCGGTTTCACAAAAATAAAGACTGGCTCATTTGACTTTAGCTATTGCTAACTTTGTTTCAAAGTTGTGGAACGAGTAATTAGGAAGAACCTGTCAAAAACATACAGCAGTGAGGACATTTTCAGTCATTCATTTGGACTGAGCCCTACCACATCGTGAAGCCACAGAATTTAGTTTTACTACAGGTCTCTCCTACAGTGACATTTTATGCTACTGGGAGGACAAGGTTGTTGTAATGTTATACTCTTTGCTGAAATGTGCTTGGAACTCTTCCTAACATTTTCTGCTGGAATGAACAGAGCAAACAGTTTGACAAGGTTCTTCGGTCAGCCATGTTTTTGTCTGAATATCATGTCTGGGGAAAAAGAAAAAGTCTGTCTATTATTCGGATCTAAGCCACAGTTAAAGTCTATTTTTGTGACACCAGGTCAGGACCTGTAAGTTGGGCTATTAGATGGACATTGTATTCAATATATTTAGAGTTCAGAGTATGGCACAATTGCTAACCAACAGTCCAAAACTCAGATATTTAATTTATAGATAAAAGCTGCAAATCATAACATTTGAGAAGCTAAAACCAGCATACACCTGTCAGCCATAACATTATGAGCACTGACAGGTGAAGTGAATAACACTGATTATCTGGTTATTATGGCTCCTGTCAGTGGGTGGGATATATTAGGCAGCAAGTGAACATTTTGTCCTCAAAGTTGATGTGTTAGAAGTTGACAAGGGCCAAATTGTGATGGCTAGATGACTGGGTCATGGGCAGCCAAGGGTCATTGATGCACAGGGGGAGCGATACAGTGTATCAGAGTTTGATACTTGACCTCCAAATTCCCCAGATCTCAATCTAATCAAACATCTGTGGGATGTGCTGGACAAATGAGTCCGATCCAAGGTGGCCACACCGCAACACTTACAGGACTTGGATCTGCTGCTAACGTGTTGGTGCCAGATACCACAGCACACCTTCAGAGTCCATGCCTCGACAGGTCAGTGCTGTTTTTGGTGGCAAAAGGGGGGCTTACACAATATTTGGCAGGTGGTAATAATGTTATGGCTGATTGGTGTATGTTTGGCATCTGCTTGATAAATGACTTAAATGATAATCAGTTACGAAATTTACTGCTAACAATTGTGTTAGTCAAACAGTCAACTTGAGACTAGCACAGATAGTATTGGGGAAGTATTTAAGTATATCCAAAAACCTTCGACAACACACTTTATCCATTTGTGATTATAACAAGATTTAATAACTACGATGAAATCGTCATTCATATCAGTCTAAGACATGTTAAACAGTTGATGGAAGCCTATGTGGTGTGAACTGGGAGACTTTTTACCAGAGTGACTGGTTGAAAGCCTGGCTGTAAAAAAGGAAAACGCAGTATTAACTCTCTGATCTCTCTCAAACATTATTGAGGTTTTTAATGGCCAATTGCACTAGTGGTGTTGATGATCTGTTGTGGTGCATTCACTTAAAGCTTTTTTGGTTTTGTTTTTTGGCATCATTGGGAAATAATTCCATAATAACTCTTCAGAATATTGTAATTCAAGTGGTCTGCGAGAACTAGACTACTGCACCTCCTCTTGGCTCTGTTTTCAGGCTTTAGAAAATCAAGCTAGTGATGGGAGACTTGGGAGGCCATTCATAGCTCATTACAGCGAGAGGGCGTTCCTATTGGCTGTTCCTCAGATGGTGAAAACCTCATTCAAAGGCAGAAAATCCTGCAACTTGTGGTAAATTTCAATTGCCTCCTTTCCTCCTTTGACTACAAGGTGTATAGTACAATACGTGTGTGAACAACTTCGGAGCTTTTGCCCAATGATACAAAAATATATATATATATATTAAAAATAATACAATATTTTTAAAATACAGTATCCAGTACATGTATGCACATAAGAACCATTAAAGTGGGGTAGTCGCTGCAAGATGTCAGTCGCCAAAACTGTCTCAATCAGTGAGTCAGTCTGTATAACTTGATGTGTTTAGCTCTTTGTTTTTTTAAAACAAAAATTGTGAGCACAAACCGGACCACAACTTAAAGGCAACAATGGTACGGACCAAATTAATTGAACTATAGGGAGGTGTGACAGCTCACTATTAAATAGCTTGAAATTATAGACTAACCCTCATGAATTATCGCAGGTAACATCCTGTTCTTTTGATGAACTGAACTGACAGTTGACAGATTAAAAGTTTGTACAATATCTTTTGCCTCCAACTTGTGTTGACCTGCATACAGCTGATGCAATCCCAACTCACGTTACAACCACCACAACCCCCACAATCATCCTCCTCAGCATGTCCGTAGGCAACATTTCTACAAGAAATTGAGCCAATGTCAGCTCTGTTTTGATATGACTGTGTAAAACCACTGGCTCATAAGGATGTGATGGTTCTATAGAAGCACAGGAGTCATGTATTTGGATGTCTTGAATAGATACACACTGTGCCGTCATGGCACACTTTACAGGCCAAACACGTGATTCAGTGATCTGTGTTGTAACATGTTCTTTTCGAGTTTTTAAATTAGTTGCCCTATTTCTGTTTTGCATGGCGTGCCTTGTGCAGTGTACTCATGATCAAAATGGTTCTGACCACCTTTTTGATAAATGTTTTTCTTATCCATATCAGTAGGCCAAGATCTTCTGCCGCCTTTGAATTGTTGCTGCAAGAATAGCTTTTACATTACATGTACAAGAAATTGAGACAATATGGTGTTTGGTTGGGGGACGGATGAAGCTGTGATTGATTTCCACAGTCGGGGTCAGAAGAGCACAATGTGAGCTCAACATTGGCAGGAACCCATTATGTGGTATTATTAGATATACAGTGTCTATTTATAGTTCCCCATTTCATTCTGTGTTTTTATTACTATTGGGATAAAAAAAAAGCAGGAATTTTAGGAATTTTATTAACTCTGTTCCTCTGGTATGTAATACATGGTGCTCTTCATGGGTCTGAAAGACAATACTCCCTCGCTCAATAGTGAGTGATATGCACTTGTCTAAATGTGGGGCCTAAACATTCCTCTTACTTCCTTTCCAAACAACGGAAAATCACAGTATGTGTTTTTGTGTGGAAAAACACTGGATCAGATATTTACCATTTACAGGTGGAAAATATCAATTTGCCCAAGGGAAACCCAATGTTCCACGTTTTCCTGACTGAAATGGTTAGAGAGAAACAACAGGACGATATGATCTGTACCTGTTTATTCTTTGTTTACTAGGCTCGGGTATTCATTTCACAATATCTCATCGTCATTGTATTTAATTGCCAATAACTAGTGCAACAGCTGGGGTTGTAGGGTATACAGTTGCATCTAGAGGCATTTTGGTCTGCACCCATTAATAACGCCCCTTGGAAATCGAATAATTGGCAATTACGGGACACTTTGAGCTGCATTGTATGTATGAAAGGTGCTATACAAATAAAGTTTATTATCATAATGTTATGTAGTATATGAATACAATATAGAATATGGTGAAAGCAATGAAGACAGTTCGAAGATCAAGCCAGCAACATAACATAATTATCGTCCATGCCTTTATTTCATCTTCTATTATAATTCATTGTATGTGTTAAGCCTAAAAGCTATCTTGCACCTCCAGCTGGTACAAAGCACAACCCTCCTATGAGCCGGGCGCAGCCTTAGACCTTCAACCAGGTCTCTGCTTGCAGTTCTTGAGACCCGGCTGAAGACAAAAGGAGACCATGCTTTGACACTCTGAGCCCCTCTGCTCTGGAACTCCCTACCTGAGGGTCTAGGGCTTACTGAATCGGTGACATCATCACTTCCCAAAACATATCTTTTTAAAGAAGCCTTTTATTTTTCTAGCACATTGTTTTATTTATATCATGTCTCATCTTATCCTATATTAGTGTTGGGTATTTTATTCTTTTAATTTTGTATGATTTCACTTTTTCAGCACACGTCTGCACTGATGAATGAGAGTAAGACTTAATAA